GCTTACTGCATTGACATCGCTAACTATATGAAAGAACCCCAGATTCTAAAAGAGGGGGCATGATGCAAGGCCTCACTGCTGATTGTCTGGGGAAGATCTGCAAAATAGACATACAGCTGTCCCTACATGCAGAGTGGATACTTCAGACATTTTAATTGTGGCTGACTTGGGTCAATGTGCTCTAGTTTAGTGGGGGAATTTTTCTTCAGTTTACACTTTTCTAAAATAGTGTTTCTGTGTGAGTCATAAAAAATGAATATGAAAAAGCAAATACCTATGGTGGAACTAATAAGTATGTCTAAATGTTAATTTCATTAGCTTCTCACTGTTACTGTCACGGACAAGCATACAAAGAGGGGTCAACATTATGAAACTAAGAACTTGCCTAACTAAGAGCTTCAGAGAAAAAAATAAAAGGGTCACTTTGTGATTGTAACCAATGTTGATATTAAGATACAAAATCCAGACCCCTCAAAGTCTCCTCATTTCCAATCTTAGGTATTGGCTGAACTCGCTGAATAAATACTTCTAAGTCTATATTTTACTTTGTCAATATAAATCATAATCAGTGGATTATAAATAATGTGACTGGTTTTATCTGGGTCAATGGAAATAAATCAAAGTAGTCATCACGCATGCCATAAACAAAGGCCCTTAACTATTCTCATGAGAAGCTTGACTGCACTTCAAGAGAGAGTATTCTGAGTAGTTTCAGAGTCACATTGTTGGCGGTTAATCTTTTTGCACACAGCAAACAGAAATCCTTTAAAAATACCTGGCTGGTCATCTACTAAAATAAAACTGAAGTCCTTGCCTGGACCCACAAACCTCTGGAGACCTCTAAAAGCTCACCTCTAAAAACATCTCAACATTCTTTTTTTGTGTGCTGGCTTCTTGTAAGACCTTGATCTCTCACCTAGTCTGTATCATTCTCAGGTTTGTACTGATTTCTTTGGGTTGATTATCCTTCATCTGCCTCCTGTGACTCACTGTCTCCTTCCCGCAATTTCCAAACCTTAGAGAAGTTTGCAGTAGATCCCTTACCTAAAATCCACCTCTTTTTACTACTACCTCTCACCCGTTCTTATCTTACCTGTGTATGTTCATGCTTGCATCCATAAACTCACTGTCCATCCCCAACAACAGGCATGTATGCAAATGAAGGTTAAATGTTTCTTTTGTTCACTATTTCTCTCTAGTACCTATGTCAATGATCATTAAGTTAACGGAATTAAGGTTCACCAAGAGCATCCAACCTTTTATAATTAAGGCGCTATGATGCCATTTACAAAATCCACGCTTAAGAAACATGCAAATCAGTTATTTCAAATCACAAACTCAAAAATTATGTTTTCATAGAATTCTGTGTTGCTTCCTATAGCCCACAGGACAGAAGGTGGACATATCTGTACATGAACTGGTTAAGGGAGATATAACCAGATCATCTAACATTAATTTCAAATTATATTGAAGTGTGTCTAAACTTCTGAATTTAAAGTCCACATTTCTTTGACTTTTAAATAAATGTTCTATGCTGTCTCTGATTTTTTTGTCTACTGCTTGGACCCTTCTCCTACTGGGTTGCCTAGTCCAGCTTTGATGTGATGGTATGTGCCTGGTCTTACTGTAACTTGATATGCCATGTTTGGCTAATGTCACTGGGAGGCCTGTTCATTTCTGAGAGAGGGAGTAGATCTGAGGGAAAAGAGAGGTGGGGGATAGAGACTTGGGAGAGGGAAGGGAGTAAAAACTGAAGTTGAGATGCAATATATAAAAGAGTGCTTTTTTAAAAAAAAAAGTAAAAAATGAATGCCTTCTGAGAAGTAAATTCTGAGTAGTGTTGAAAAGTACATATAAAAGCTTTCTGTGCAGTTTTTTGGACTAATTAATTTTTGTGTGTGGTGTTTTGAACATGCTTGGTCCATGGGAACTGGCCACACAAGGACGTGTGGCCTTGTTGGAATAGGTGTGGCCTTGTTGGAGAAAGTATGTCACTGTGTACATAGCCTTTGAGGTCTCCGAATACTCCAGCTCTACCCAGTATGGAAGACAACTTCCACCTGGCCACCTGCAGAGGATAGTCCCTTTCTGCCACCTGTGGATCAAGATGTAGAACTCTTGGCTCCTCCAGCACCAAGTTTGTCTGCATGCTGCCATGATGACAATGGACTGCATTTCTAAACTCTAAGCCAGTCCCAATTAAATGTTTTTTTTTTTAAGAGTTGCCTTGGTCATAATGTCTCTTAATAGCAATGAAACTCTTAACTAGGACACTGTATGATCTATTTATATTTAAAATATCTTTTAAAAGAAAAAAGTTAAAAGCTTCCTGGGAGAAGAGCTAGAACTAAAAATAAAAATAACCCGAATTCCATACTTTTATAACTAGAATTTCCATTTTAGCCTATTTAGCCTACAACATTAAGTAGTATTTGTGAACAAAGATGTTCTTCACAGCATCTCTAGTTCAATAAAGCCAAATTATTTCTGTAATTAAAAAAAACTTTAAAAAGTTAATCTTCCTTAGGGAGTAGAATCTAAGTCACTACTAAAGAGAACAGATTGCAATTTCATTGAATCGAGTCTTGAAAAGGAAATGCTAAGCTAAGTAATGGCTAACTACAATGCTCTGTTCTGGTATCCCTCTCTGTACTTGTCATTCCTACCAACAAAACCCTTACAACAGCTTTGTTTTAACTACAGGGTACTTTCTAGGACACTCGGTCTCTCTACTTATGGATCTACACCAGAAAGGCCATCGAGCCCAAACTCGGCTGATCAGTTGGTTGACCAGCAGTCCATCAAATAGATACATCGTAGCTCTGTCCCTCAGAGAGCATACAGAGATTTCCATCATATCATTGAGACATGAGGCACACCTAAGGAAGGCAGCAGGAAGTAATGGGACAATAGTCAACTGAAAAGAAAAAAAAAAGAAGGCAATAGACATAGCAATGTGGATACAGGGAACAACGAAAACAAACTAGAAGTCGTAGTGTTAGTCTCTTGCTGTTCTTCAGGGAGCTGCTCCCAGTATTTTTCAAGATATCTCCTCAACAGGTTTTCTAAAGTATACATTTCAGTACATTCAGTACGTTTATAAGCAGAGGTAACTTAGCTAATAGAACACTGACTAGATAGACTACTTGGTTAAGTCTTTAACAGTGAACTTGACCTCTGAAAAGTTCATGCCTTCATGATGTCCTCTGATTCTCTCTAGTTGGAAATTTAAAATAATATTGAAATGTATGTATACTAAAACCTAAAGGGGTTTGCACCCTGTTTGTTTATGCTCTTTAGAAAATATCAAATTCTCTTCATGAAAGCAATGTTGAAAAGTCATATTTGGTTTATCTTGCCTCCTAGAAAATTCAGCAATATCCAAGGGAAAACAGGACTGAAAGGGCATTTCACATATCAGAGCCCTTGCTTGTCACAAGGGAGAAAAAGGCTAAGGACCCTACAGCTTATCAAGAGCATCTTCCTATAAGCATTTTCAGATACGGAATTGCAAGAAAGAGATCACAAACAGAAACAGGGACTTTCATCAGGAAATGTTTTACTATCTCATCCTCTGGCCCTTTAACGCCTACCAAGGCTGTTAGAAACCATTGTAGGTGTGTATTGTCACACTAGTTTAAAGTTTAGGAAGCCAAGATAAGAATTTTGTAAGAATAGTTCCATTGATATGTAGTTCATATAATATATAATTATCCCAATTAAAATGTACAACTCTATTTTTTCATATCTAACTGGACAAGTGACAGTATGATATACTTTAAGATATTTCTATACCTCTTAAAAACAAGCACATAACCCTATCCTTCCATTCCCTTCTTACATGCCTGTGGGAATCACTAACCTGTTTCTGGTTTTGTGAATTTCCTTATTCTGGACATGTTTTTAAATAAAAATCACAGTGTTCAGTGGTAAATGAGTCAGGTGACATTTTAAATGCTTCTGTAAATGTTTCTAATGCCTGATTGGTGTAGAGAGAATAGCTAGGTTGTGGTGACTGCTTTTTTATTCAGTCTATCACAATATCACACATCTGGAAAATTCCATCCTGCATGAGCAACAGCAAAACAGTAAAATAAAACAAAATGAAAAGACAAATGACATCCTTTGGTTATGAAAAAAAAGTAGTTTTGCTATCACAGAATCCCCAAAGGGGTCTTGGGGACTCTAGTGATCCCTGGAACATCTTTACACTGCTGATCTCAATTCTGCTCTAAAGCCGACAGGGGCTCTTCCCATTTCGTTTGTTTTGCTTATGTAATCATTAACACAGGTTTTTTTAGGATGGGGTTTTGAGTGGAAACGGAATCAGAAAACATCTTGAATATAATTTTCAAAGCATTTGTCTGCTATATTATGTACACCTAGCTACGTCTTTCTTCAAGTAGGCAATCAGAATGAGATGCATCATGCACTAATGGCTTTCTTGCCCAGTCTCAAATCTTGTTTATATCAGCAAGTGCAGTAAATGAGACTTTGCTCTCTGTTGCTCAAACTCTTGATTATTTCAGTGCTGTCTGTAGTTTCAACACTCACTGTGAACCCAGAAATGTGTGTTTCAGTTCCTATCCAGCTTGTCTTGATCTCTGTGGTTATAAAGGAGTCCTAGGAATTTGTGTCTGGGATTCTAAAATAATGAAATGTTCTTTAAAATTTCTAAAATGGATACTGATGTCACAATAAAATAATTGTGCAAGTGTTGATAACCGAGAGCAGTAATTCAATGGTCAGAGTATGTGGTTAATCTTGGTTTAATTAATAATTATCCTGTGTTTTATAATTTATGGACAATAGTGTGCTCAGTAATCCCATGTATACCTTCCATCCTTAAACAGTCACTGACATTCACTAAAGCAGAAGCCTAAGGGAAGGGCGTACAAAGTTCTAGACTGCCAGGCATACTTTACTTTAATATCAACTGATCATTCAAAAAACAAGTTTAAACCTAGACGTTAAGTTAAAAACAGTAGTTTGGCACCTACCTTACAATATCTCCTTCAAGAGCAATCACTCTCTTAATGATTTTCTGTTCTGGGTTTTTAGGAGACCTAGGATAAAAAGATAAGATTATACAGTCAGCTATGTTTCTATTATTTGAAGAACAGAAAGATAAATTGTTTAACAAAAATCAGCTGTAGTAAAATCAGTACGGAATTCTTTGCACCCACGGCGTGACACAAATCTTACTTGTTTCCAGTGACCTAAGATACTGTTGAGAAAATTATGTTCCATAATAAAACTTAACAAAATTGAAAACAAAGGGGGAAGATGGGTAAAGGTGATACAATCTGGCAGTCCTAGTCCATAGAGGTGGACGAGACAGGAGCAGAATCCCTCTAGCCACAGCATGTTCCAGGCATGTCTGGCCTACATGAGACCCTGTATAAAGTAGAACAGAAAACAAGGGCATGATCATCTTAGATATTAATGGATAAAAACTATTAGTATATTGTTTTCAAAGACAAATACTTATAAGAAAAGGATTTATATGTAAGGAAGCACCCATTTCTTTAATTGATAAATGTTACCAGTTATGTCATTTTATAATTGAAAGAGGATCTTCCAGAAGACAATGATGCTATAAGATTTTATTTTTTAAAGAAGGAAGTAGAAAATTCCTTTAAATCATTTTGAAGTTCAGCAATTTGATGATTATGGAATTAAGAGAGACAAACAAGTACCCCTGACAGTAAAAAAGAAATTGACAGATTTTTATATATAAAGTCAAAAACGCATTTTCTATTTTAATCTCATTTGTGATGGGAAATTTTGATTCAAAATAAAAACACTACTTAAATAAATCCCCACTTCTTCTGGAATATACATCCCGATGGATACTTTCCCACATTAAGCTAGGATTGATCTGTGAGGTCAAGAGAGTATGGGAAAGGAATGATATGGGTATATCACTTTGGGGATTTGGTTGTAAGTGTGTATTTCTCATAATTTAAGTTGCTCTATTCTTTCTCTGCAGGAAGCCAAATCAGCCCTACGGTGATAGTCACATGGAGAAGAACTCAGAATGTTCAAATCACAGCACTGAGCACAGAAGCTTGTCCTTCAACCCAGTCAAGTTTGGAGAGGCCTTAGCTCTGAGCAACAGCTTAACTGCACTTCTAGAACAATCCTGCACCAATGTCCCCACCCAGGCTGCCCTGAGGACAACCCTGTACCAATGTCCCCACCCAGGCTGCCCTGAAGAAATGTGCACCGTCAATGTCTGTTGACTTAAGCCATTAGGCACTGAAGCAATTTGTTATGGGGCAATGGCTAGATAACTTCATCTTAATATGGACAATTTCCTGCTGATACCATGTTAAAGCTCTGATTTAATGGACTTGTTTCAAGGAACAGATCATATATCATATAAATGATCATTTAATGTGTGTTTGAAAATCAACAAGAGATAAAATATTTTCATGTCAATTCACATTTTGAATTAAAACGCTTTTTTCAAAGGAATGTAAAAGTATAAAAACAGAAAAAAGAATTAGAAAAACCGAGTGTGTACTGAACTAGAGGAGTTACAATATAATTTATATCCTATAATATATCTTACAGAGAAAATAAAATTATGTAAATAGCATCAATTACTTTCACATAATTATGAATATTCTTTATTTTGAAGGGAAACTTGATTAGAGTTTTGACTGGCCTCTTTCAACAAATTGAGTAACTCTTATTCTATAAGTTTAGAGTCATTAACAGATAAGTCTAAATTTACCCTGAAGGGCTGTGGTACCTTCAAGCTAGAGAAACTTGATTCTCTGTACTAGGTAATTTAAGATTATTTAGAAAACGTTTTTTAAGCTCTTTCATTTCAGTGTCTTCAGACTTCCTCTTAATCTTGTTGTAGTTTCCTTGAAGGAGCCTCTTCCCTCCCCACCTCCATTCCCTGGGGACTCCAACTCTTGATGGCAACCCAGGATCCTCACTGTTAAACACAGCCTCTCTTTCTACCCATCTCCAATCCTTGGTATCATCACTGACTCATAGCAACATTTTCTGCCAGGGATCCCACAGCCGCCACACTTGTCTAGCATCCAGAGTGGTCAAAATCAACCAAAGAACCCATCCATTCATCCAACAAAGACAAGACTAGATAGCTACCTCAAGAAAGATACAAACATGAATAATCAAGACAATAAGTCTATTCCAGAAGCCAACAACCCTATTCCAGTGATCTCTAGAAAAAGCAGTATACTTGATGCACAAAGCAAGGAGTTTCAAAGTAACAATTATGAATATGTTACAGGATGTTTAAAAGGTTATAAATAAATGTCTTAATGAAGATTGTGAAAACATACATAGTTGAATAGGTGAATAAAACATTTCAAGACAAGAAAGTAGAATTTAACGATGAAATAAAATCACTAAAGAAAATCCAAACTAAAATAAAACTTGAAATGAACAACTTTGGATGTAAAACAAAAACCTCAATGATCTCACCAACAGACCATAAGACATGGAAGACAGAATTTAAGTCCTGAAGATAAGAGAAATGGATAACTCAATCAAAAAAAAAAAAGTTATGTCTACGATATACTAGGATCAAGATGTCCAGGAAATCCAGGACACTATGAAAAGACCAAACCTAAAGATAATAGGAACATAGGAAGTAGAAGAATCCCCAGATCAAAGATACATAAAACATTTTTAAGAAGTTTTCCCAATCAGAAGAATGTCCCAATAAAGGTACAAAGGACCAGAGAAATAAGTCCACAGTGACAGATAATAATCAAAGTACTACATGTATAGAAAAAGAGAGGATATTAAAAGCTGTAAGAGAAAAAGGCCAAGTAACAAATAAAGACTTATCTATTAGAATTATATCTGACTTATCAATGGAAACACTAAAAGCAAAAAGGGCATGGAAATTGTGATGCAGACTCTAAGAGACCACAGATGCCAGGCCAGACTACTATACTTAGCAAGCTTTCAATCACAAACAATGGAGACAGAAAAATATTCCATGATAAAGCCACATTTAAGAAATTTCTATCTACCACTCCAGTTATACAGAAGGCACTGGAAGGAAAACTGCAGTCTGAAAAGATGAGCTGTACCCAAGAGCCACAAGGAATAAACAATCCCAGAAAAGTAAATAAAAAGACCAAAACAAGGATAAAAAACAAACCACCAACACCATAACAAAATAACAGAAGTAAATAAACACTGCCAACTAAAAATTCAGTATTAATCATATCAATTTCCCAATCAAAAGACACAGGTTAACCCTGATTTAGAAAACAGGATCCATTTTTCTGCTCCATTTAAGAAATAACACCTTACCATCAAGTACAGATATCACCTCAAGGAGGAAGAACAGAAAAAGACACTCCAAGCCAAAAGGCAAGCAGTTGTAGCTATCTGACAAAATACACTTCAAGCCAAAATTAATCAGAAGAGATTAATATTCATTGAAGAAAATACTCAACTACAAGATATTACAATTGTACACATTTGTGCACCAAACACAGAGAGGAGGCCACATTCATTAAAGAAACATAACGGCAAAAATATCAATCGAACATGTGACTTAGAAATCAGAAAATGCTGCTGTTATTATCTGGATTAATGGCATTAGTTTATAATCGCAGAAAGAAAAATTGTATACTTGATTTTACTGGCAAGGATCAAGAAGAATCTAAAACAGAAAGCAGAGAATTGTATTATTAAAACTTTTAATGACCAGTTTTGGGGGTTATTAGAACTATACTTCAACGGAAGAAACTCGAATGGCCGAGAAGCACCTAAAGAAATGTTCAGCATCCTTAGTCGTCAGGGAAATGCAAATCAAAACAACCCTGAGATTCCATCTCACACCAGTCAGAATGGCTAAGATTAAAAACACAGGTGATAGTAGATGCTGGCGAGGGTGTGGAGAAAGAGGAACACTCCTCCATTGTTGGTGGGACTGCAAGATGGTGCAACCACTTTGGAAATCAGTCTGGCAGTTCCTCAGAAAATTGGACATAGCATTACCTGAGGATCCAGCTATACCACTCCTAGGCATATACCCAGAAGATGCTCGAACATATAATAAGGACATATGCTCAACTATGTTCATAGCAGCTTTATTTATAATAGCCAGGAGCTGGAAAGAACCCAGATGTCCTTCAACTGAGGAATGGATTCAAAAAATGTGGTATATTTACACAATGGAGTATTACTCAGCTATTAAAAACAATGAATTCGAGAGGTTCCTAGGTAAATGGATGGAACTAGAAATTATCATCCTGAGTGAGGTAAGCCAATCACAAAAGAACACACATGGTATTCACTCACTGATTATTGGACATTAGCTCAGAACCTTGAAATGCCCAAGATGCAACTCACAGGCCACATGAAGCCCATAAAGAAGGAAGACCAAGTGGGGGTGATTCGGTCCTTCTTAGAAGGAGCAACAAAATACTCAAGGGAGCAAATATGGAGACAAAGTGAGGGACAAAAACTGAAGGAGGGGCCGTCTGAAGACCTTTCCACCTGAGTATCCATCCCATGTGCAGTCACCAAAGGTAGATGCTGATGTGGAAGTCAGGAAGTGCATGCTGATAAGAGCCTGATATGGATGTCTCCTCAGAGGTCTTCAAGAGTCTGACATATTCAGAGGCAGATGCTCACAACTAGCCATTGAACTGATCATGGGGTTCTCAATAGAGGAGTTAGAGTGAAGACTGAAGGAGCTGAAAGGATTTAAGGCACCATGAGGAGAGCAACAATACCAACCAACCACAGCTCCCAGGGTCTAAACCACCAGCCTGGGAGCACTTAGGGGGGATCCAGGGCTTCAGCTGAATATGTAAGAGTGGAGGGCCCTGCTGGGCATAGGTGGAAGAAGAGAACCTTGACCTCATGAAGGCTGGATGCCCCAGGGGGTGGGAATTTTGAGGGTGGGGAGGTGGGAGTAGGGGGGGTAGATAGAGGTTACATCCACAGAGAAGAAGGAGGAGGGGTGAGGGGATTGGGGGTTCTGGGGTGGGTGGGGGATGGGGTAAGGGGACAACATAGGAATTGTAAATAAAACATCCAATAAAAAAAAAAAGAA